ATCGGCTGGCTGGCTGTGTGTATGTGTGTGTGTGTGTGTGTGTGTGTGTGTGTTTGCGGGCAGTAGAGTATAGCTGACCAACGTAAACCGCACAATCAGTTTCCGTTTCCGCTGCAGCCACACAACTGGCGGCCATTTTGCTGCTGCCTGGCTAATAAAACCGTAAACGACAAACTCTTTTTGTGAGTTTTTTTTTATTTTTTGTTGTATTTTTTCCATTTCATTTGGACTTTTAGGCGGTCAATGCAACACGCCACGTTTGCTTCATTAACTGTGCAAGTAAGCCAGCAGTGGCAACAACAACAACAGCAACAACAGCAACAGCAGCAACAGCAAACAAATCTTCATACAAATAAATGTGAATTCAACCAAATGATTGACTAAGAGAAATCCTTTCAACTTTAAATGCTGCCATTTCAAATTGAAAGCCATGCACAGATTTATATTCTTTTATATTCAAAATAGCTTTAATTGAATCTTTCTTTCTCTTTTTGTATATTGTTTTCTTTGTTTGGGCGGGTGGAAATTTTACTATTTTGCTTGGCTGTAACTTAATATACCCAACTTGGCCAGTTGCTAGTTGCTGCTGGTTGTAAGCATAAAAAGAGTTGCCACAGTTGTAGTTGTGTTGCTCATTGTTGTTCTTGTTATTGTTGTTCTTGTTGTTGTTGTTATTGTTATTGTTTTTGTTGGTGCTTCACACCTCTGTTTGTGCAAGTGCTTTTGTTTGGACTGCCTTTCGTTTCGCTGTTGAATATAAACAACAGCAGCGATGCGAGTGAAACAACCAACAGCAGTGCAACAACAGCAATATATATATATATATGTGTGTGTGTGAGTGTTGGTGTTTGCCTGGGTTTGGCACAGAGCGCATTCCATGCTGACAATGGGTGGTATCCGTATAAGCACAGCCAACCCCCTTCCCACAAATCACTGCCAGGCAGGAGAAACGCGTGCTGAGCTGCAACTCGGTCTCGGTTTGGTTTTGCCAAGTGGACAGCCCGCTGTGGCGCCAATTTATGAGCTGTCAGAATTTCGCACTACTCCAAAATCGCCAGCGCCTTGAAAACTAGCCCAAAACACCTTCGTGCTGACCAAAAAAAAAGAAACAAAAAATGTTGTCTTCAGCTGGCCCCAAAAAGTAGGCAACACTTTGTGTTATTTGTTTACTATTGCCACACTTGAAGGAGGACAAAATAATAAATAATATCATTATAATATATCAGCAGCTTAGTCATAAATATTGTTGTTGTTATTGCTGATCTACATATATATATATATATATATATATAATGATGCAATCACCAAAGTTGTGCACGTGAAATATTTGTTCACAATTATTTTGCTATTTAAGTTGAGCGAAAATGCCAAAGCAACACTTGATTTAAGCTGAACTAAAGCGAAATTATTGGCAAATTGACTATCATTTGTCAACTTCCTACATCCTATATATATATATATATATATATATATATATATAGTCACATATACATTGTTTGCATTACAAATTCATAATTTCTAAAGCATTCCGAATCAAAGGCAAACACAAAGAGTACAAAATCTATGCAGCTGCTGCCTTCTTTTCATTGTCTTGTTTGTTGCCATGGACAGCGCTGTGTGTCCCTTTTTTATGTGAGCACATCACATGTGCCCCTCAATCCCCAACCCCTATGCTCACCCCCTGTCCCCCCGCTTCACTCCCAGCATGAGTTGGTTTAAGGTTCAATGACGCTTTTTGACGGTTTTTGACTTTTGGCTCTGTTCTTGCTGTTGTTGTTGTTGTTGTTATTGCTCTTGTCACTTTTATATTTATATTGACGCTTATATTTCTATATATATATATATATGTGTGTGTGTATGTGTGTGTTGAACTGTCTGCGTTGTCTGGCCAGTCGACGAGCCGCAAACATTTCCAAAAGCCAGCCCCATCGCCCCACCCTTGGCCAGCCCACTCTTTGGCATCAACCCGTGTCCATTGTTTGGGGCAACCAGCTGACAGCTGTGTCCAGATGCGTAGGTTAAGGCGGAAGCGGAGCTGCGCCCCACTCATTCAGTCAGTCAATCAGTCAATCAGTCAATCATGCAGCCATTCAATTTATCGTTGACTTAACTTTTTGATGGTTACAAAATTAAATTTATGAAGCACCCTCAACCCGACAAAAAAAAAAAAAATAATGAAAAAACACAAAAAAAAGTCGAAGCGAAGCGATGGCAAAAAAATCGAGCAACCAAAAAGCAAATGTTCGCATTTAGTCGCTCGACTTGCCAATGCCCTGTAAATATACATTTTTGTCAACCGCTTGATTTCATTTCTTCATTAACTAAGTGTCTTTTTCGAACAGTGTATGAACAGTAATTGCTCTTACTCTTGAATTGAATCGCTGGCATATTTGTTGTGTGTGTCTTGCAGATATTATATTATTTTAGCTGTCAGATAGCTGTCATTTCTTCTTGATGGTGCCACTTTGACTGTAGGGTATTTTGGGCTTTAACCTTTTTGTGTTTGGCAACGTAATATTCATTGCTATTCATACACACATTACACACACACACACACACACACACACACACACACACACACACACACTCACACACACACACATCCATCAGCAACAGCAGCTGTCCACTCCTTGCCCCTTTCCACCCGGCGGACCTTGGACTACGCCACTACTACCACTGCCACTGCCACTGCCACTGCCACTGCCACTGCCACTGCCACTGCCACTGCCACTGTCACTGCCTCTGTATCTGCTGTCGCTAGTCCCTCAGTCAGAGTCAGAGTCAGAGTCAGAGTGTTATCTTTGCGGTCGCATCTATAATGGGTTTTGTCACGTCGCAGACGCGTCTGCCATATCAACCCCCTCTCCTCCGCTCCACTACACCTACGTCACCTACCTACCTGCTCTGATCTTCTCTGCTGTCCATTCTCACTCTTTCTCACTCTTTCTCACTCTGTCTCTCTCTCTGTCTCTGTCTGTCTATATGTCCCTTGTGTGTCTGTGTGCTGAGGCATGAAAAACGCACGTCGACATCAATAAACTTAAAACAAAAAGCTGCCTGCCAAGAGGAGTAGGGGATTCACTCTATGTGTGTGTGTGTGTGTGTGTGTGTGTGTGTGTGCACCTTTTGCAACACACACACACACATGTGTGTCTCTGTGTGTGTGTTTGTTGTTGTTGCTGTTGCTGTTGCTGTCAAACATTTGCCTGGTGCTTAAGCCGCTTTTAGTAGAAGAACGCAGCTCGTCTATATCCGCTTAATAACTTTGGCGCCAAATGTCAAGCGCTGTCCCTGTGTCCTTGTGTGGCTGTGTGTGTGCGTGTCTGTGTGTGAATGTGTGTGTCTTTCTGTGTGTGTGTGTGTGTGTGTGTGTGTCTGTGTCTGTGTGTGTGTGTGTGTGGGTGTGTGTTTGTGGCTAGCAAGTGTATCAAATTCACAGCTATTGACTTTTCACAAATTTTCCAACGTAATTGTTAAAGCTTGCAATGCGGTCAAGTGTGTGTGTGTGTGTTGCTGTGTATGTGTGAGTGTGTGTGTGTGTGGATACCCAAGACAACAAAGGGGTTGCAGAGGTGTCGATGAGGGGGAAGATTGGAGTATTCTATAGAATTTGTTAATGAACTTTGCATCCATTGCTGGCCAGACACCCAATAAAATTATATTGTACATGCATGCAGCAATAAATAAATTAGAACAAGGTGTCCACACAAGAATTTGAGAGCTTCACAAGCAGCGAGACACAGAATAAGAGAGAGTGAGACAGAGAGAGAGAGAGAGAGATAGAGATAAATAAAGAGAGAGGGAGAGTGGGGAATGGGGAATGAAGTGCGGCCAAAAATTGTGTGTCTTTTTCATAATAAAGTGAATCATTCGTGTGCTTACAGGGCAGGGGTTGTAAAAAAAATGATAAGGGGTGGGATGGTATGGGGGGTGTGTGGGGTGGTGGGGTAGATGCCTTACTAACTGTGTTGCCTGCGTTGGCAGTCAGATGCAATTTATTGATAATCTGTATGTGGCTTCAGGGCAGCTGTTGTAACAGAAGAACGAGCAGACGTAGAAGCAACTTCGTGCGACCTTAAAGCAGTTATTTAACGTTATATATATATATATATATATATATCCCGATACGTATACATGCAGGCAGTGCAGTGGGCAGTGGGCAGTGCGCCAACAACAACAGCAGCAACTACAGTAAATGCAACAAGAAACCGTTTGGCAATTTGTTGCGACAATTTTGGCAACATTTTGCTGACCATCGTGGGGTAAAGATATAGACGACAGACGGCAGAGCTGGAGAGACAGCAAGAGAGTGAGTGAGAGAGAGAGAGAGAGGGGGGGAGGGGGAGAAATCCGGTTAAAATGTACACATTTTGAACAGATTTAGCCAAGCAACAAAAACTTCAATATTTTCAACAGATTTCTCAGAATGCCTCACGCCCCCGCTCTCTCTCTCTGTCTCTCGCTCTCTCTCTGTCTCTCTCTCTCTCTCTCTCTGTCTCTCTCTCTCTCTCTCTCGCTCTCTCTCTCTCTCTCTTACAGCCTCTCCAGTAAATGAAAAACCAGAAATGGCTATGAACGTTGATAATATTTCACTTTTCTCTTCAACCAATAACAATAAACTTAACAAAAAAAAAAAGAACTAAAATATTAAAATTAAATGGAATGTTTGCAGTATATTTTATTAATCCCTCGAAATGTAATTTAATGTCAACTAAATAATGCTTAACGAATGATCAGAAAAAATATGTGTTGTGAAAATGAACCATTTGAAATAAAAGTGTGAAATGAAAATGAATCCAAATGTTTTTTTTTTTTGATGTTTGAATTGAAGCTGTCATGTCCACGTATCACATTCCTATGTTCTCACCTTGTATTCTTAACACTCTTTTCATACTGCTCATATTTATAGCCATATATATATATATATATATATATATATATATTTTGTATATTTAATGTTTATATCACAATTTCAATGGTTTCCATCTGTCTGCTTGCAGGAATACAATTCAAAGACTGCCTCATGCCATGCCATCCACTACTATCAGCCACATCCGCATTCGTATCCGCATTCACACCAGCGATACCAGCAGCAACCAACACTGAAGCACAGCAGCAACTATTGCAGCAGCAGCAGCAACAGCAGCAGCAGCAGTAGCAGCAGCAACTGCAGCAGCAGCACTAGCAGCAGCACAAGCAGCGGCAACTGCAACAACCACATTTGTAGCCACAAACAGCAACAGAAGCAGCAGAAGCAACAAAAGCAACAAAAGCAACAAAAGCAGCAAAAACAACATAAGCAGCAGCAAAAGCAAACAAGGCAACGCTACGGTCACACTGGCCGCAGTCGCCATTATAAGTACGATGCCGTCGAGGAGTGTTGCCGTCCAATCTATAACGAGCATTACGGTTCTCTGGCGGAGATGTTGTGAGTGCGGATCACAAACTGGTGGGCATTCGACCGAAGCGCAAGGTACCTACAACAACAGACTAGCTACAAGGTGTTGTACTCCATTGCGGAAGACGGAAACGAGACCGATAAGGAGACAGACCTACACACGCATACCAAGACAGAGACAGAGACGGAGACGGAGACAGACGCAGAGACAGAGACGGAGACAGAGACAGAGGCGGATATAGTTACGGATATGGATTAAGTTTTAATGTTTGCATACCCAAAATGGTAGCTTCTTCATCTTCTCTTAAGCATGAACTGGAAAGAAAACATATATATATATAATATGTACATTTGATAGATATCCCGTAGATATCGAAATAATAGAACAAAAAAAAAAAAAAAAACGATTACTGATTACTGATTACTGATTAACGATAAACGATAAACGATTTGAGTGTTAAATGTATTTACGAATAGATGATATATGTGTGTAATAATACGATATACCTATGCATTTACATATGTATACACCTACCATATAGATGTTTATGCAAATTGAGCAAACTTTACCAGCACAGAGCATAATGTTAGATATATATATTCAAAATATATGTATTAATCATTGATATCTGGCACGAATGGGCGCACGCTATAAATGTTAGGCATACGTCTATATATATATATATATAAATACTTATAAATACATACATAGAATTTAAATACTGCACACACACACACACACACACACACACACAGACACACACACACACACACACACATACGCGTATTTATTCATGTACATAAGCAATTGATAACCATATTATTAATAAAACATATATGTGAAATCCATATATATATTTTTTTTTGTGTGTCCGTCTAGAATAAGAATTGAGAATTGTTGTTTTTTTTTTTTGATATAATAATAAAATAGATATATGTATGTAGAACTAGCCTGGCCTGGCCTGGCCAAGAAATTGTATAATCTAAGCACATTTATTTGAAAAATAAAAACATAAATGTAAAACTAAAAATTAACAACAACAAAAAATAACACAAAATATGGCAAACATTATCAATATATGCATAAAAATCTATAAACTTAAATATTAATATATTTAAATATATATATATCTATATATGTGTATACTATATATATATATATAGAAATACATACAATTTTTTTTATTTATAAACTAGCAATGCTTGTAAATAGAGATAAAGTATATTGATGGAAAACGCCGCTGGCAACATTTTAATAATAAAATAAACAAAAATCATATATATTAAAAGTTTTTTTTTTTTTTAACATATACATTATTATTATATACATACATAATTCTTAGTAAAACTTTAGCTCTGAGTGTTAAACAAGTGTAAATAAATTGGACACGTTACAAATTTAATTGAAGCACAGAAAAAAAGAAAGAAACAAAAGAATAATAATTAAAAGGCAGATGCAAAACATAGAGAGGAGGGAGGGGGTCAATGAGAAGGTAAATTGAAAGTAATGCAAATTATTAGTATTTGTCAATGGCTGTCACCTTGAAATGTATTCGAGTAAAGAGCTAATAAAGCAACTACTTATACGATAGAGAGAAAATAAATTAATTAAATTAAAGAGAAATCTACACACACATACATACATACATAAATACTCGCACATGCATACATACATATATGTCTAGCTACTTTTGTGTATGTAGTTGTGTGCTATTTGACAGAGGGACAGAGGACTGTCTGTCTGACCGTCGGACAGTTGTCAAGTTCTTCACTTACTTATTGAAAAATGTGTCTTACAAAAAATGCATACAAATATATAAATATATATATATATACACATATATATATATATGTATTAACGATGGATTTAATAACAGACATTAATGGAACATTGTAAAGCTGTCATTATTGTAAACGAGCATAATGCATTTCTCTACTACACACAAAAACCCAGCCCACCCCACCCCACCCCACCTCCCAACTTCCCTACATGTGGTGCAACTAACAGAACTTAAGGAAACAACAACATAAACATCAATACAAAATCCAAACAAAAAACAATGAAACAAAAACAAAAACAAAAAAAGAAAAAACAAAACAAAACATAAGAAAAAACAATGAAATGATAAGCTTCTTGATGTTTAAATTAAAGTGAATGCGAATTGAAGACTACAAGTGATTGTCAATTCGCTTTCGCCACAATATCGCCAAAAAAAAGAAACGAAACAAAAAATATAACTGTATTTGTCATTGCGCCAGAAAGCATGCTATGCAAAAGTTCGGTGCAGAGAAACAAAACAAAAGAAAACAAAACAAAACGAAACGAAAAAAAACAAGCTAAAACATATGTAATAAAACATTTAAAATTAAATTGTAGCAATGCAAAAGCAAAACACAAACCAAAAGAGACACACAAAGCAGAGAGAAGACAAACAGAGACGAGGAGACAAAAGCAGAGTAACACAAGGGTGACAAGAGTGGGGTAATTTTATCATTCGTCATTATCACTTTTGGCACCCACACACACACACACACACACACACACGCACACACACACGCACACACACAGCGTCACACAAGTATATAAAATTTTAAATTCTCAACTGCACTTCGCAGAGTTTTAAATGTCTACATAACGTAAAGCATAAAAACAAATATAAAAAAAATCAAAACCAAAAAAAAATGAAAACAAAATCGAAATGAAATGCATAAAATATTGGATTTAAAAATAATAATAACAAAAAAAACAGCGTAACTATTCAAATACCAGAACTTTTAACAAAATTAAAAAAAAGAAGGAAGGTATCACATTTAGCACGAAACAGAACAGAAAACTGCAACACACACACAACACTCACACACACACAACACTCACACACACACACACACACACAATTTGACAGCTGCTTGCGTTCAAAGTTTTGTGAGCTCATTTTGCTATGCTATAAATACTATAATTACTATATATAATTACATTGTGTTCGTCCTTTTGCTCTTTGTATTATTTGTCAATGCAATTTACTTTAATATAATTATATATTATTTTGTTTTCTTTTTTTTACATAAAAAAAGCTTAAAATGTGATATTTTATAAAACTATAAACCACAAGAGAGCGCAGAGACAGCAATGTGCACTAAAGTGCCGCCCGAAATCAGCAGAGAAAGCGAAAACGAAACCGAAACTGAAACCGGAACCGTTAAATGAATCCAACCGTCAGAGCAAAACAAATAAAAGAAAATAAATAAAAATAAAAATTATAAAAAGAAGACAAACAAAAAAAAAAAAACAAAAAAAAAAAGAAGAAGAAGGAACACTCACACACACTTGCAACAACTTGAAAATAGGCATTATTGAATAAAAACGTTCTCGAACGAAACGTTTGCGGATTATTGTCATTAAATTATGATTATTATTGTATAATTTAAGTAAACCAACTGTAAGTAACGTTATGCATATTAATTATTAATGATACGAAGAAAAAAAAACAAAACAAACAACAAAACTAAAAACGTTTTAAAACTATAATTAATTTAATGAGAAATTCAACACAAAAACGAATAACGCAGAAAAATTAATAAAGATTTCAAATGCAAAACAAAAATCACTGTCTGCGTTTTTATTTTCCTTGGCTATTGGGATAGCTTTCCTTTTTGAAAAGGCCTATTCTTCCATAATCGCAATAATAACAGTAACAGTCACTGTAACTGCTTCTGTTATCTGAAGCTGTTGAAGACGTTCCACAAACGCGGTGTGGAACGCAACATGTTATGCATCGAACATGTTGTGCAGCATACTTTTCGGCAGCGTTGCGTATTACAGGTGGCCGTTTAATGCGGCATACTTTCAGGCGGCACTCTCGCATCACAGTCGGAGCTTAAGTGCGATTAGCCTTCTGTCGCATTAAGTCTGTAGCTGGTTAATATCATTGCAGCTTAGTATGCAACTGCGCTGCGATGATACTCCCCACTTTGCCCTGCAATCGCCATCACTCTAGTCCTAGCAATTTCAAGGATATTCTCGCACAGCTATTGGCATCCATATATATCTAAATAGTTACAAATCCATATAATACAAATATGAAAATGTATAAATATATACATATGAACAATCATTTAATACAAATCATAATTAGCTGTGAACTGCTCGTGTTGATTTCATTTTAAATGGCATTTAATAAGCTGCAAATTGGCAAAATCTATATTATTGGGGCTTCAACTTAGATATTCTGAGTCTAGAGCCAATAGCTCTTTTATCAGCTCTGATTCTTGCACGAATTCAAGAATTTTTAGGACATTTTTGCCCGGGTTACTAGATCTTTTTCTGGCTAAGACGATGCACAATTAGTCTACAATGTCCTGTCAAGAGACAGATGAGCCGGTTCTAAGTCTGTTCTTTCTCATGAAAGTTATTGGCTTAGATTGTTTTTGATTATAGAGACAAACTTGGTGTCTGTGATTTATACGATTATTTATGCTGTGTTCAGTTAATGTAAACGATCTGTTGTACAGTGACAAGTTTCAGGAGAAAGCGAATATCGACATCGATCTAAAAGATGCACTCGATTTGTGAGCCAAGTGCAAATTGCTATTAGTTTTGCTTGT